TGGAACGGGCGGGTCATGTGCTGCCTGTAATTCTACCAACGGTCATCAGGTAGCAATATATATGGCTCGAGTGACAACCGGCGTTGCAGGTGTCAGAGACTCGGCAGGAGTGTCTCTGAAAGTGTTGAATGCAGCCACGGTTTTGTTAGCTTAAATCAGGGCGCGGAAGTGTGAGAGTTCAGCCCAGGTACAGCACGTTCTACCCTGCCTTTGGCCCCTTTGTTGTTTGTATTTCAGCATTTTACAAATGCGTTTCACGGCCTTCGTGTGGGTGAGGACTTCCTCTGCTATAAGCAGCTTCCCCAGGGGGAGGTCGTTGTGCGAAAGAACGAACGCTCTTGCTGGATTTTACTGTGATACCTGCCACTCCGTCTCATCCCTGTACTCCTAGATTAATGCTCCAAAATAACTCACCGCTAACAACCACCTCCTCACCTCTCCCCCTTCTCTCCCATTTACGTTCAGGTACACCGTACTCTTTAAAAAAAAATAAATAGAGAAAACATCATATTGATGTTTCTATGGATAGAATCGTGGCAAGTCCTCTCCTTGGCCGGTGAGTCCCGTCCAAGGAATTAGGACTTCTGTAAGCCTCACTGCACTGCAATTTTGTTTTGTCTCTTGCTGAATTGGTACCGTGTGTTTTTGGAGTAGAGTAAGACTGCATTCCTTTAAAGGGGAAGCGGTACTGTATGTGTTCAGTAGGCTGTAGCTAGTGCATGGAGTGTACTGTCATTGACAAGAACCCGGAAGCTTCCTAACAGCACGGTAGCAGTGCATGTTCACTTCCTGGAAGAAACCAGGAACGTGAGTCAGCAAGATCTGTACTAGCCGTAGTGTTTTAGTTCTGTGTGCTGGTGTGGACTGAAAGCACAACTTGGTATTTCTTACCAAACCTGATGCATAAAGTCTGTAACATAATATGAATGTAAAGAGTCGGGGGGGAATTATTTACCTTTTCTTCCCCGAAGTTAGATATAAAGAATGTGCTAAGATGTATTCAGGGACCCGCTGCCTCCCGCGTAGTCGTTGCGCCAGCAGAACAGATTTACTGTCTGCATAGCTGGCTCGTTCACGAAAGCATTGAATTAGCAGGCTAAGGAGGTACTGTTGACCCTGTTTATTAAGCCAGAATTAATTAACTCAAAGGGTCACATTTTCATTTCAGTGATTCCTGTGGTACAAATTTTTGAAGTTGATCCATAGGACTTGAAAATACCTTGATTTTGGGGGTATTTTTCCAAATCTATCAGCTTCTGTTTTGTTATGGAACACTTGCAAAAATAAACTCGTTCTGAAACCATCAGTTGAAGCACTTCCATGGTAGAGTGGCTGTTTTCATTAAACGTGACGGCCTGTCAGACAGCTTGGCAGCGACAAGCGTTGCAAGGTTGTGGCACTACCGTGTCCTCTTCCCGCTTGATGCTTTATTTCCTTCTCTGGTGATTAACATTGCGATCATGCCCACTGTTACACAGTTGTATTCGTGTTGTCCTTTTTCCGTCTCCCTTTGAGAGAGAGTCTTTCCTCTTCCTCCTGAATATATAGTAAAAATATTATGAGCTTTCAGTTGTTCGTGCCGATTTTTTGGATACTGTGAAGGTGAGTAGGTGTCATTTAACATGCGGGTATTTTACCTGAAGAAAAAAAAGTTTCGGTGCTTATTAGACTTGAACTTTTCTTGAGGTAAACCTTGGGCTAAATCCCCCGGGAAGCCTGGAAACAAGCACAAGAAGTTGTCCTCCCCACCTCCTTTCTGACCTGGGGCAGGTGTGTGCAGCACCTTCTCAGGTCAGCACTTCCCTTTGGAAGAGAAAGGAAAATCCAGTGGATTCTTGAAAGCGTTGAGTGGTTAAACATTGGAACAGGCTGCCCAGGGAAGCGGTTGAGTCACCATCCCTGGAAGTATTTAAAAGACGGGTAGATGAGGCGCTTAGGGACATGGTTTAGTGGGCATGGGGGTGTTGGGGCGACGGTTGGACTCAGTGATCTTGGAGGTCTCTTCCAACCTTAATGATTCTATGATTCTGTGATTCTATTTGGTTTCTTTCCTGCCTTCTTCTGGAGGATCCAGGAGCCTCTAGGATGTGTAGGAGAGAGAAATTCCTCGTATCGGCATCTGGTATCCTGACGATGTAAGGAACCGCCGGGGCTGGTGCAGAGGTGGCCTCCCCTGAGGAGGAGGTAGGATTCTTTATGACTAAGAGCTTGTGTGAGGAGGCAGGCGGACCCTATTGTGCTGTTCTGAATGAACTCCACGTGCGGGCATTCTTCTTCTGCAGTAATTACACTGACGTGTAGCTTCCTGCTGTACTCGCCGGCAGTCTAAGCAGGAGCTGTTCCAGGGTAACTCCAAAGCGCGTCGTTGGAGCAGGGAACTTCTAACAGCTTCCCTTTTGGTAGTAACATATAAAATAGAAAAGGTCGTGTTATTTTATAAATTATTCTATCTGTCCAGCTGCTTTTCATCTGAAAGTGACTCATTTACGTGTGTTGTGAAAATGGGTCCCTCAAAGATAATTATGTCTCAGGATCAGCTAATCGCAGACCTATCTGCGTGTTAGAATTCAGCATTAGAAGGCGTTTTTCACCTTGCTTCAGGGTAAAGCGAGTGGGTTTCACTCACTGGTGTTTTGACTAGGCAGGAAAGCTTGGGTGGGGCGGAACGCCAACTGCGAGAGCCGTTCTGGGATCGGGAGGCTGCGCTCGGGCTCCCATACGCTACCTCTTCGCCTGGGTCAGGACTCCCGTCGCTGTAAACCACCGTAGCGCAACGCCCTTCCCGTGTCAAGGAGGACTGACTGCCTTAGCGGGCTGTGCCAGTAGCTGCTAAATCACTGGAAATAGGAACATAAACTCCATTGGATTGATCTGTTCTGCTTTTTAGAGAACCGTTATGGCCTGGTGTTGGTATTTATAAGTATCTTGCGTACAGTCAACGCTGTTCTGTTCAGCTAAGGACGTGCCACTATGTCGTTCGATACCGATTTCTCGCCCCTTAATTTAATAGGAAGTAAATGTTTCCCAGTGAATGTCACGACGGCCTGCTGACAGCGTTTGGGATGTTCAGGCGGGTTCAGTTTAATGCTGCTGCCGACGTCGAGGCTTTTGATATCAAATGGGTTTTTACAAAAGCTTTGGATACTCGTTTTTACTGTCCGACCAACACTCTGACTTTATTATGAATGCTTTGTGTACGTTTCACTAGCACTTTCCAAGTGTTTGTAAGGTTTCTACAGCTGAATATCCTGTACGTTCCGCTTTGTCATTTTCTACTGTGGTTTACACCAGAAAGCCTGCACGGTTTGTCCTGTACTGCGGGCAAGGACTGCATTAAAACCATTTTTGGCTAATTTATTATACTTGTGAATGGTTATTTCCTATGACTTAGCTTATGCTCAGGCTAAACGTTCTCTCTCTGGAAGCCTCACGCAACTTTTAATCGCAATTACTGCTCGGGGCAGGGAAGGTTCTTTGTCTGTGTCAAAAGAAAGGATTCGCTAAGCGCTGCCCCTTGTCTCACCGGGTGTTGGCTGGGGCAGCCCAGGCCTTTGCGTTCCGCTCACCTGACGAGAGGTATGAAGCGCTCCGCTTGCGGTGACATTCTGCAGCCCTGCACTTCTTAGAATGTGGATATATTTAAAAAATAATAATGGACCATATTGCCTTTAGACAGAAATTTTCCCAAAGTTACAGTAAGGTCAGGTCCGAGCTAGCTTAAGTGTTGGATATTGGGTACTTGGTGCCAGGGGATTTAAAGCCAAAGGAAGAAGGTATTTGGCTGCAGATTTATGTTTGAGCCGATCGATACAGTTGCCGCACTGAGTGTTCGGAAGGGCTGCTAAGCCACGAGGGCCGTATTTGTCTTTTGACTTGAAGCCCTGTTGCTCTGCGAACAGAGCTACAAATCGAGTTCAAGTTCTTGCCACAGCTTTCCTTTCTTTAGAAGGGTCAGCGGTACCGATTCAACCACAGACGTTTTAAGAGACAGCACTGCAGCGCTCTATGCGTAGGACTGCCCTAGACAGTGCTGCCCCCACCCTCAATTCCCACCCAGTTCGCCAGGGCACGCGCGCGCTGCAGCCAGAAGCTGCTTTATTCGGTACCACGGGGCAAGACGACTGCGGGTGTTCCACTACAGAGCGAAATTCAGAGAGTCGCATCTTTAGTTCTTGGCCACCATCCAAAGGCTGAAAATTCTGCCAAAAATTCAGTGTGGCTGCTAAGAATTACATCAAGTTCCAAGTGCACCCGTCGTTTTGGAAGCGTTAGGAGGGGCTGTACCAGCTGACCTGGAGCGATGTAAATGTTACCACTAGAAATGAAGTACACACCGTTGCGATTTAGTTGTTTTATTTTGCTCTTGCAAGCAGCCACAAGGCAGGCTACAGAAGAATAAATAAGTTAAAGCAGAGAGTGTAGCAATTTATGGAACCCCAACATCGAGGTGCTTGACTTTGCCATGACAGAGTGCTTTGTTACGGTACCTGGTTCAGCGTTCAGGCAGTAACTGACCAGAACTGATCTAAGTCAAGTGTTTCCCCCTCTGGCCAAAAAGATTTTTAAACGTGCCCTCGGCCAACTCCACAATAACAAAACGTAGGAGAACCCCTCTTGTCTCATCAGATAGTCATATCCGTTTGTTCCGAGTGTGTCAGTCTGTTCCAAAATACTTCTGTCCGAAGTGTGTTGGTGCAACAGGATGAACTTCTGTAGTTAAAATTGTGATCTCTGGGAATTCCTGGATGATGGACTTGGCACCTTTTGAGAGAGGGCAAAGGCAATAATGACTACAGCACCGCAGCTGTATTTCAGCACCACGTTAAACCACGATTAGCAGAAATTCCGTAGATAAATCAGGCTCTCTTCTTCCATCTCCGCTTCACGCTTCTGCCTTAGCTGACTGTCTATGAGGAAAAACTTCCCGAATTTAGTGGATTGCTTTTTTGGGTTTTCTTATTTGGTTTTTCTTTTCTTTACCGTACACGTATACTCCCAATCTAATCACCAACGTGGTTACAGACTGCCCCGAATGGCTCTCTGCAGGTCAGTTGACTTTTTTGATAGTGATTTCTGCCACCACTAATTTTTAAAACAGCGCACACGATCCATTTTCCTACTTCACAGAAACAGATGTTCCTTTTTTGGATCCCCTTTTACAAGGTAAGACCTTTAACGTGCGGCCAGGACAGTTCTGTACCTTCATTTACCTCACGCTCCTTACAGAACTGGTATTCTTTTGGAGGCGGACCAACTCGCCACCGTCCGTGGGCTGCTGCAGTCCAGAGCAAGAGCAGGAGTGGCTTTGTGAGCCACTGAAGCATTTTGCGTACCTGGCAGCGCTGCAAATTCCTGCTTTTAGGAATACGTCCCCCTTTGCAGTTTCGCCATTAGGTGTAACAGGCCTTTTCCTCTCTGCCAGCCCACTCCACTGCCCACACCACACGTGTCGCTGTTCACTCTCAGTTTCACAATTCAGCCAAAACCCCAAACCTCTCTCCTGAGCGAAGCGATGCTGCTGTCGTTACTTGCGAAGGAACAGCTCTTCGCCGCCGTCTGAAGCGTGACTAATGTAACTCTTCCCCGTTAAACGTACCTGCGCTCACCCCTCCGTCCCCCTCGCACCCCCTCAACTTACCGTGAGGCGTGGAGAATAGGCTTAGCAGGATAATGACACTTGGTTGTACGCCATGTTCTACAAGAACTTTGACAGCCTCAATGACGGTATTGCCAGTACCTAAAAGGGGAAGAAGGGAGATTTTTATTTCTTCCCGCCCCCGGCTGAAGAACTTGTCCTAGGCCACCCGAGAATATCCATGTTAGCATTGGTGTGTGACCGAACGGGGATACTGTCCTTTCCCACTGGAAACTATCACCTCTGCACGTGTTAATTGTAGAAAACTTTGGCCTCCCGATGAAGGAACTTCACCTCTACTCTGAAACAGCCAGCTCTGCCACGTTTTCAGCGCTGAAGTCGGTGGATTTTATTAAAGCCCCGAGGCAAGAAAGCTCATCTAAAATAGTAAAATGGCAATTAAGAGCTCCGTGTGTAGAACCAGAATTAAATCTTAGACTGGAAAAGTTAGTTCATCCTGACAAACTCCTTACCACGCTTACCGGGTATTTTTTTTGGTAGCATTAACTGTATTTAATTTTAAAGTAATTTACTTCTAGGATCTGTAATCCAACAATGTCTTTTAATGGCATGAGAAAAATACTGTTTGAGTCTTTTCTCGTGGCAAAATTTAAAAAATGAAATTTGTATCGAGTCTCAATGCTTCACCCTTTCTCACAAAAACGGAGGCGTGCCCAAATGATTTGCTCTGCATTCATGCTGGTGCAGGCTGACTAATACGTATTCTGGCACAGCCTGATAAATTCCCTACTATGTCACCTAAACCAAGCAAAAAACCTCATCAAAGCCCCTGAAATTTGGAAATTTTCCTTTAAATTCCGCGCACTCACTGTACATAATGATGAAAGACACTTACTTAGTATTGGGTACATAAGAAGAACTTTTCTCCTGTAAATGTCTGGTGGAAACTTAGCGTAGTACACTTTCGCTCTTTGAGTCTCCTCGTCGCTCTGTATCAGGATTTTTCCTATGCGGATTGATCTACAGCAGTCTCGCAAACCTTGTTCCATTGCCTCCCCTCAAAATGAGCAGCAAAAAAAAAAACAACGCCACATTGTTACACGCTGAGAAACGGCACAATTGCAAGATGCTGCCATTAAATAGCCAGCCCCGATACTGTATTGGTGAAGAGTTCTAAAAAGGAGATTTTTTTTTTTTCTCGGTTCTAAGTGTTAAAAACACTTGAAGCGATTTTTCCTTTTTTCTCTGTTTAGACAGAAAACCAAGTCTACTTGGTGTTACTTAGCTGCTGGGTATTAGTGCTCCCACACACCAGTGCTAAGCTCTCAAAGGCGAGAGCTGGCAACGTCAAAACAAGCGTGTGGGGTTTGGAGACCGTCTTTGAGCTCTGCCCAGAGGCACCGCGGTGCAGAACGTAGTGCAGGAAGCCGTGGAGCCACTGGATTTTACATCACAGGCACAAAGGTTTCCGCAGCATTGGGCAAAATAACAGTGACTCTGCCAGCACCGAGCACGGTTGGTTTGGAGACCTCGCTCTGGGCAGAAGTCAAACAAGGAAGGGCAGTTGGCCTGGCCTCTCGCAGGTAACGGCTGCTAGAGAAGAGGCCAGGTGAAATCTCTTGCAGCTGTTTGGCTCCTAAAAAGTCAATGAAACATAATACTTGACATTCTGTGATCAAGGATACCTAAGAAAGAATAACAACCGGCAGGTTTGGGTAAGACCTGGCTGTAGAGAAGTGGTGTTGCACATTTTTGCAAGGAAGTTGGTTACAGGTTTCCCAAACGTTTAATTCGTGCTCATTCAACGACCAGAAACTGCCTACCGCTTCGCATTATGCTGACTCCGCAGTTTCCCTTTTCAAATCTGACTCCTTCGTATTTGTGTCCTGTGAGAGGAAAGAAACCAGATGTCAGTGGCAGCGATCGCTCCCTTCTGCCCCATCTTAATGCCCCTTTGGGGGACGCTGTTTTAAGTGACCTTGGTGTGAACGGAACAGAAATCCCCCGAATACCCAGGGGACAACAGCGAGCTCCCCATCTCTCAGCAGGCGGCATGAACCAGTCTGCACACCGTGTCCTGCAGCCCTCAACCAAGCAATGGGAACTGGGCCAAAACCGTAACTGGTGAAGAACTTGTGCTTTTTTTACCTTTAGGAGTCGTGTCAGAAAAGTGGCACAGAAGCGATCCTTTCCAAGCACGTGTTTTATAACTCCGGTATTCTGTGATTACTTTACATGAAGGACGCTATGCAAAATAAAGGTAAACAGTGTGTCCCCTAAGAAGCCAGGTAAAGGCAGTCCAGTGCTGCAGGTGGAAGAGTTAGTTAGAACTGAGTCACGATGCTACAATGCTACTGTCACTGCGTTCTCGATCACTGAAAGAAAAAAGTGGGCAATGGTATGCGTGTGAGAGAGATGATCGTCAGTACTGTGAGCTCAGGTCTCTGGTTAATGCAGAGATAAAGACAGCAAAGCAAGATCGTCCCAGTCAGAGTTCTTCAGCTCTAGCCCCAGAAGCTGGTAAGGAGCTTGCCCAGCAGCACTGCTGGGAAGAACATGTGGTGACGTTCCTTACAGGCGTCGCATATTCCCCTGCCTGACTGAAGAGAGTCCAAAGGCTCCCCTGAAGGAGAAAGAGTAGGGTGTTTCACTGACGTCCTTGCGGGGTGTTCTGCTTCTGAGCCCGGAAGAGCAGACATCACCTGTGCTTATGGCATCTTACGAACGCTTGGAAGGAAAGAGCTCAGTACAGATAAGCGGGAATTCATGCAGAAGCATCTGAGTTCTCAAGGGACACTTCCTGCTGGAAGAGCTCAGCTGAGGCCTTTTTAGCTCCCTCACTGGGCACAGGGGTTGGAGCGAAAGGGCAAACACACGGACTGCAGAGCCAAGACCGTTTCAGACAGTAAGACTCTATCTACAGTGTGACTAGGAGTCAGGGCAGGAACCTAAGCCTTTTCACCAAGGCGACGTGTGCTCAGAGGGCAAGGTCCGAGACTCTCTTTGTCCACTGCCAGGGCAGTGGCCCACTCTAAAAGAACTGTAGAGCTTCCAAGTGATGTTCCTTGCAGGGGACCCGCCAGTCAAATTGTGTAATGCAGAGAGAAGATGGTCATCAACCGCTCCGTCACCGACTGACCTGGAACAGATGTGACGCCAATGCTCAAGAAGTAAAGGAGCTGCTGTTTCATTTAAAAAGGAGCAAAGGTAAGTGATTGTGCCTCCTGAGTGCCTTCCTAAACTCTGTCTAGTTTCAGAATTGAGTGTTTTCAGTCCATCTTTTCTCTAACTAAAAGACATACAAATGATTTACTGCGGAGGGGAAGAGGGTGTGAATGTACAGAGCTGCTCTCACCCTGCAGAAATGCAAATGCAGTTCTCGGGGGGAAGAGGACTGGCGTGGCGTATGTCCCACAGGTGTGCTGCGGATCCTCAGCACGTACTTGAGCGGCTCCCAAGAAGCTGCCGATGCACTAAGCAGCTACCTCTGAGTAACGCGTGCAACCCTACCTATCTTTACAGTTAATAGGAGCAAACCAAAATTACTGCCATGGGTTTCCTCTAGTGCCCACACAGCCGCTTTTTATTTCCCGCTTATCATTGCTCCCAGCTGGCCCCCTGCTGCAAACAGGGACGGATTTAGGCTGGCATGGCCAAACTGCTTGTGCCAAGAACTTTTTCTTTAACGGGCACGTGAAATGTCGTTGCAGTACGGGCAAGTAAACTGATCTTGCGCATACACTGGCAAATTTTCATCACGGTTTTGCAAGACCAATTTAAAAACCTTAGTAAAATGACAACTATACGACTGCATGTTTTGCTCAGTTGTGTTGTTACGCACCTTCTAGCTTTTTAAGTACCGGAAGGGACCTTAACTCTGTACTCTACCCTGAATGTTGGAACCGTTTCAGCCTCAGGCTCCCCAGGGAAGGGGTCATGGCACCACGCCTGTCAGAGTTCGAGGAGCGTCTGGAGGACGCGCTTAGTCACATGGTTTAGTTTTATGTAGTCCTGCGAGGAGCAGGGAGTTGGACTCGATGGTCCTTATGGGTCCCTTCCAACTCGAGATATTCTATGATCCTTGTTAAGAGTCCCATATTTTTTTGTATTAGTTAAGCTTCCACTTCCAGTCCTACCTAGGGGAGGAGTAATTTCCCACGTACCTGTTGGAGTGGTCACGGTACATTCTGTGTATGGCAATTGATTCAGTCCCTCTTCAACCACGAGTCTGATCTGTAGAACCAAAGAGATCAGTCAGCCTAAAGGGATTTGTTATCTGTGGAGGTAAGATACTAAATGGTAGTAGTTTTCACAAGTACTAGGTGAACACCTAACAGCCTGAAGGGTCTGAAAGGGTCTCTTTAATAATAGTTAGGGACTGAATTTAGAGACCTTTGGGGGGTGATGCCTATGTTTTGTCCACAAATCAAATGAAGGCGTTACAAAACAAAACTGGGGGAAGGGGAGGGTTCCTCGGCAATCATAAAACCGACTTTATTTATATCTGGCAGGCATAGGCATCACAGACAAATTTTTCTCAACAAATGAGTGAAGCACCAATGCAACTTCATTTTGTTGTCAGAAAATACGAGTGAGAAAAAGGGAAAATTCACCCTCTCGGCTCCCCATCAGCTAGGCTCCGAGGTCTATTTTCACATTCGTATTTCTATGACTAAACTGCAGTTGGGCTGCCAGAACAGCCACAGAAGCTGCAGCAATGTAAACGCGCCACCGAGTGCCCAAAGGCAAGTCAGCAGATCTTTATCACCTTCTTCTTCTGGCACCTGCCAGCTGTGGTGGCTGTGGGATGCTCTGCCAGGCAGCTGTGCTTCCACCCGGTACAGATGGCCCAGTTCAGCA